GGTGTTATCCCCAAACTCCTTTGCATTGTCAAATGGTTCAGCATCAGCCACTGATCTGCTTTTTTCAGTGGGAATGACATTAAACAACAGGTATTACCATCTGCTTTGTTGCTGTACCCTAAGCTGAAAGCTTCTGTGTGTATTGTCTCCCTTTTAGAATGTGAGATCCTTGAAGGCAGGCTCTGTCTTAATATTTCTGTCTCCAGAGCTTAGTATAGCGCTTTGTAGATAGTAAGTGCTTAATAAATACTTTGTTCTTTCATTCAATGAGCTTCCATGCTGCTAAGAGATACAGCACATAAAATAAATAAATGCAAGATAATTTGAGGGGGATCTGAAAAAGTTTCAAGTAGGAGGTGGCCACTAAGCTGAGCCTTGAAGGATCTAAGGATTGATTACAAGAGTTCGTAGAAGTGCAGAAGGGGTACATTCTAGATAGGGTAAAAGGGCCAAGAGAAGAACTAGAATTAGGTACTCAATAGACATTGAAACCAATCCAGCTAAGTTTCTGTAACAGCTATGTGCCATGATACAAATAGAGGGAGAAATACTACTTAAGTCTGTTTCTTCCATTCAATATCTATCTGCAGAACACAGGAGAGAGCGCTTGAAGAGACCACATAAAAGAATGTACGAAAAGTCTTAGTGCAGTATTAAGACTTTTGAGATACCCTGTATAAGGTCCCTTCAAGTTCTCTCTCATATGATTTTAGGTCTCAGCACAGCGTTAAGCTGTTAAATCCTTAACACCTTAATACATCACTGAGATTTGGGGTCAGCCAGTAACCTCGTCCAATCCCATTCCCTTGCAAAGATGCTCAGACCATAGATTAGATCCCTCAGTGAATTAATTTAATGGTAAAAGCAAGATCCCAACATGTATATCCTGCTTACTCATCCAGTGTTATCCCTATTTCCAAATAAATCCCTGAACAGATCTACGTTGATCCCAATAGAGTTACAGCCAATCCCTTTTTGTGTTGGTTAAGAAATGTATTTACACAGACTTCATGGAGAAAGAATAAGAACACGCTGGAGCAAATGTGTATAAACCACACATCAAGGCTTTAAAAAGTTTGAAATCTTGCCTAGAGTCTAGGTCAGGGGTGGGGAACCTGCGGCCTCAAGGCCACATGTGGTCCTCTAAGTCCTCAAGGGCAGCCCTTTGACTGAATCTAAACTTCACAGATCCCTTAATAAAGGGATTTGTTCTGTAAAACTTGGAACTCAGCCAAAAGGCTGCATCTGAGGACCTAGAAGGCCACACGGAGGCTGGTCTAGGTTAACAGGTATCAAATTGCCTGCGTGAGATTTCATCTGGGTTCAAGTGCCTCAAACTGCATGACTCCGGTCAAACATCACTGAAATCAGCCTTTGTGGCGTAGTGGAATTCAAATTTCATGTAGTCTGACGTCCTGTTGATCAGTGTTGCTGGTCACACACACACACACACACAGAGTACAGATCTCTTCACTTCAAAGTAAAACCCTGGATTGGCAAGGCCACAGAAGTGAACATAACTCTGAGGCTTAGAATTTCTGGGTTTTGCACTCCAGGCCTTGAGAGTAGAAGGTATTTGAAGGACATTTCGTTTCTGTAAAAAAATTTTTTCACTTTCATAATTACTTAAAATCACCCTCTAAAGGAGGGTTTGTTGCACTTTTTAGTTAACTTAATAGATACAGTATTAGATTTGGATATAGATTCAGACCATTGGCAAATCCCTCACCCTCCCTGAGCCTCAGTTTCCTCATCTGTAAAATAAGGACCCTGGACTTATTGTGAAGTTCAAATAATATGATGTACGTAAAGCACCTTGCAAACCTTAGAGCACTATGTAAATGTCAATTATTCTGTTTTACAAAGAAAGGTGTTCCAAAACATACTGTATTTGACTCTGATACTCTTTCCTATCCCCAGCAGATCTCAGGTTTCCTCTATGATGCTGGCAGCTTTGAATAGTAAAAAGATTTCTCCTTCAAAAACCAGGGTGTTGGATTCATAAATTCTTTTTTTTTTATTTTATTTTTAGGCAACTGGGGCTAAGTGACTTGCCCAGGGTCACACAGTTAGTGTCTGAGGCTAGATTTGAACTCAGGTCCTCCTGATTCTAAGGCTGCTGCTCTGTCCACTATAAATTCTTTCTTGCTGGCTTCTCTGCTGGTGGTATTTATTTTCTACCTCACATCACTACAATCTAGCACATTTCAGTCAATTTAGGCACAGCAAAGATCAGATTAATTACAAGAGATTCTGGGGCATAGATTAAGTAATCAGCATATTGGTTATTCTACACTGAAGTCTAACTTAGCAGTACTTTATATCTACTTGTTCATTTAAAACCTTAGGTAGAAAGTCTACAAATGAAGGAGGGAAGACAAGAAGTAGGTCCCAAAATGGCAAATCAAAGGGGCTTCAAGATCTTGGGCAGGTCACAGCTTTTTTTTTCCTTTTTGGTGAGGCAACCAGGGTTAAGTGACTTGCCCAGGGTCACACAGCTAGTAAGTATCAAGTGTCAGAGGACAGATTTGAACTCAGGTCTTCTTGACTCCAAGGCCAGAGCTCTATCCACTGCGCCACCTAGCTGCCCCAAGTCACAACTTTTATGGATCCATGTTTCTACATGTAAAATGTAAGGTGTTTTTTTTTTTCCCCAGCACTTCAATACCTTACATTGCTAGTCATTCATTCAAACACTTAACACTTACTATGTGTTAGGCACACACTGTACTGAGCATGAAGGGACATGATTGATAAGTCAGAAAGACAGTGATATATAGGCAAAAGCACCAGAGAGCTGGGTTCAAATTTTGGCTTCACTACTTACCTCTGTGACCTTGTAAATATGAGGTTTCAATTGGATGAGCTAAGGTCCCTTCCAGTTCTAAATTTTATAATACTTTCTAGTATCTACCACCCTCAAGGAGCTTAAAATATAGTAGGAATAACATCTAAGTACTTAGGGAGAGTACAGAATACCAGAACAGATGAAAGCTCAGATCAGGAAGCTTTATGGCAGTGGTGGTATTTGAATTGGACCTTGACAAATGAGTAGGATGTCAATTGTTAAATATTATCTTTTTAATAATTTTTTTGGTGTTTCTTCAACTACATTTTAAATTCCTTGAGGTAAGGACTATATTTGTATTTCTTTGTATTACCCACAGCACTTTATGTCCTACACAGAAGAGACGCTCAATAAATATACTGGGAAACTGAATATTGTCACATTTCTGTATGTCTCCATGACAGTATTATAAAGGATATCCCAAAAGTCTTAGTACAGTGTTAAGTTTTACAATGATAAAACTGGGACACCTTGTATACATTTGTATTTTTTAATACAAGGTGTTGTCCTTCCGTACTATTTAAACACTTGAAATTTCACTTTTATATATGAACATATCTAATTCACACATACTCTAACTTAAATAACTAGTGGATAGAATGCTGGGCCTGGAGTCAGGAATACTTGAATTCAAATTCAGCCTCAGGCATTTACTATGTGACCCTGGGCAAATCACTTAACCTCTGCCTGCCTCAGTTTCCTTATCTGTAAAACAGAGGTAATAACAGTACCTACCTTTCAGGTGGGTTGGGAGGATCAAATGAAATATTTATAAAACACTTAGTACGGTACCTGGCACATTGGTGTCATATAAATGTTACCTATTATTATTGGCCCCATCTTCCTTGTACCAATAAGAAAAGTTCCTGATGAGAAAATATCCCTATTTGGATAGATTATCTGCCATTGTGGTTTTATAAGACAATTTCAATGGCTGAACAAATCAATAATGGCTTGGTGACTGAGAGATGAGACCTCTCTGCTGCTCTGTGGATTTGAAAGACAACATCAGGACCTAATCTCACAAGGTCTTCTGCTGTACTTCTCTTGTTATTACCTTGGTTGCTGACTCAAGACTATGAAAACCTATAAAACTCTTAAACTTTTAAAAGAAATGTTAAAAATGGAATTTGAGGGGATATGGAAAAATTGGGACAGTAATGAGCTGCTGGTGGAGCTGTGAACTGATCCAACCATTCTGAAGAACAGTTTGGAACTATGTCGAAATATAAAAAATATATAGAACTATATATACCCTTTGACCCAGCAATACTGTTAGGAGATCTATACCCCAAAGAGATGAAAGGAAAAGGAGACCCATATGTACAAAAATATAGGAGCTTTTTTTCTGTGGTGGTAAAGAATTAGAAATTGAGGTGATGCCTATCAATTGGGGAATGGCTGAACAAGTTGTGGCATATGATTATGATGGAATGCTATTGTGTTCTATGAAACGAAGAGCAGGACGGTTTCAGAAAAACCAGAGAAGTACTATATGAACTGATGCAAAATGAAGTGGGAAGAACAAGGAGAACGTTGTAGACAGTAACAGCAATATTATAACAATAATTAGCTGTGAAAGACAGCCACTCTGATCAATACAATGATCCACGACAATTCCAAAGGACTCGTGATGAAGAATGCTATCCAACTCCAGAGAGAACTGATGAACTCTGAGTGCAGATTGAACCATTTTTTACACTTCATTTTTCTTGTTTTTGCAACATGGCTAATGTGGAAATATGTTTTGTGTGACTTTATATGTATAATGGGTATAGTATTTCTTGCTTTCTTAATTGGTGGGGGAGGAAGTGGAAGGAGGGAGAGAATTTGGAACTGAAAATAATTTTTTTTTAAATTAAAAAAAATTAAATGGAATCTAAGGAAGAATTTCCTCTCCTTTTTTGAATCCTTCCCATCCCCCCATCAAAACTGCTTCAACAGCCTTATGAAATACCCTTTCTATAAAACAGAAAGGGAAGATGCAGAAAGCAGCTTGTTTCCTATTAAGACAAGGATATCCAGCACGAAGTACTCACAAGGACTCTAACTTCCCTTGCTGTACTCTGCTTTGTCAGCACAAACAATGACTAATTTTTTAAACAGCTTCAATAATAATGAAAAAGTCTTTAAATGAGACCTCCATGCAGCTTTCAAATGTTTTATTTTTAGTTCTTTTAAATATGTTTTGATACAACAAAGATATAAAATAATATATTAATGAAATCTGGATTTAAATTTTGAATCAAGACAATATTTACTTATTTACAATACTGTGCTTCAAGGTACAGCTGCCACAGGGACTCACACCTTCAAGTAACACTAGTTTCTTTGTGGAGCAGGGAGATATTTAGGAACAACCCTCAAAAAGGAAAACATGCTTATTTCAGTGTGAGTTGGCATTGGTTTCCCCAAAGCAGTAAGTACCAGTTTCCATGTCTTTTGTTATCCAACCAAAGTACTCCATAGTGCCAATAGACTATTCAAAATAAAAACGACTTTCAATGAAACAAGAGGGTGATATTACTAATTTATCAATGGATTAACTGATCATGTGGCTAACCGTATTTCATTCTTCAGTCAACTCAGCAGTTTAGACTTTTCATATAGGTCTAGAAAAAAATTACCTTGACTTCTATATAGAACATGCCTTTCCACAATATTCCTCCCACCTTCAGGGATCAAGCTAAATTATGTTCAATTGTGGAGTGCTCTGAATAAGGAGCTGCAATGTCCTTCAGTTAGTTTGGGGAAGTAAGCATAATTTAAAAAAAAAAAAAAAGCAGCCCCTGATGACTGAGTTGTGGTTTATAGATTTAGTCAAGGCTACCACTGGATTTACTACAAAAAAGAGTAAATCAAATTTTAGTCATTATAAATTGGTAGTATTTCGTCCTCTCATACCAAGTACAATCATTTCAAATCTGTTCAAACACACTGGAGGGAAAATCTAGTTTTGTTAACTGCTTGTAACAGTTTGGCCTTAGATATCATCAACAAATTCACCTCCTCTCAGATACAATTTATTCAGTCTAAGGTTTGTCAAAAACAAGCTCCTTTAACTTGCTAAGCAAAGTTGGATACTAATTAGCATACCTCAGTTGGCTTTGAAAGTATCCAAATGAAACTGATACTGTTTTAAAAGCAACTGAACTATTCTAATAGTTCATTTTTATTCATCTTAAATAACTGAACACTCCTACTAGACTTAGCTATGACTAATGTTATAATTTATGAGTGATATTTGAAGTCTACAAAAAAAGACCATAAAAACTGAGTTTACTAAATTAGCAAGTTTAAAACAAGCATTTGGTTAGAGTACTAGTTTTGTAATTATAACAAAAAAGTTCATGTAAAATTAGTGATATTTATTTTTTGCTGAGTACAAACAGCAGGTTAGTGTTATTGGTATTTCAGTAACATTGAACTAACATTTTCTAAACAGATCCCCTGAAAAGTAAATCCATTACACTATCAAGATGCCATCTCTTATCCTCTTTTTGTAGTTGTTGGTTTTCTGGAGTTCCATGAAATAACATATAGGCAAAAAGAAAAGAAGAATACTGACGACGTTATTCCTAAAACGCTGTTTTTGAAACACCAGGTTTCTAGTCAGTGAATTTTCTCTTTGAACAACTCACACTTATTCAAGTCTCTATCTCCAAATCTACGTTTACTGATTTCTTCCTTCACAAAACCCAAAAGACCATGATAAGATGTGAAAGATGGAGACTCCAACCTTCTGCAATTTTTACAGAGTTGGCTGCAGTTTTGCTCTCTCGGTGGCCCCGTGAGACTAGAGTGAGGGAGGAAAAGAGGCATTATGAATGCAGTAGAACAGAAGGGCCTGTTATTGGTCACCTCAATGGTAGACTTCCCCCTTTTCTGGCCTCCTCCTGTCCTACTGTACTTCAGTAGTGACTAAAACCGCAACTCTTGCTAGTCTAAAGAAGGGAACCCTAGAGCCCCAGAATCCCAGCAATTACATCAGAACCAGAAAGGACATTAACTACTTTTGCTTGCCAAATTCAAACCCTTGTCTCTACTTCTACACATGACTCCACAGCACCTTGAAAATGGGGAAGCTTAAATCCTGATTCCTTGGTGGTGTGAGTACCTCACCAATTCACAGTGGTAGAACCATAACGTCATTAAACAATGATGTAGACCTAGGGTGTGTAGCTTCTCTATCCAAACATATGAAGCCCAAAATGTAAACATAAATGTTATCATCACTATGGCTTGGTTTTTAAGAAGGAAATTTTAAAAAAAAAAAGGTCTGAAGGTAAAACTGGAAATTTCTGGACAAAAAAATTACAAGAATATATATTTCACATTTAAAAAAACGAAAAGAATTTTGTCTCAAAGTCTCAGGAGAGAACCTTCAAGATGATCATTTTAGTTTATGTAAACACTGTCTTAAAATAGCTACAATAATAAATTACAAACCTCTACTTTTTGCTTCAACAATAGAAATGAGTAAATGCCAGGTTGAAAAGTTATTTTTTAAGTCCTTATAGCCAATGAAGCTCGAAAGCAGTTAGGTGCTTTTGATGTCCAAAGCTCTGAAAAGGTAATTGCATTTTTCTTTCTGAGTCTTAAAAATTACATGAAGAAAAGACTAAAGATGGAAAAATTGATCATTAAATAGGTATTTAACATATTCAAATTAAAATGTTACAACATATTTTGAAAAGTTTCTCCAGAAGCAATTATCTGACCTTCCCCAGCTAAATTACACCGCATCTAAGTTCAAAAGGGGATGTTCAATTCTTTTTGCCCCTCAGAAAATAAAGCAATAACACTGGCCATCTCTTGATCTCAAGGGGAAGGGGGCAGATCAGTTTAATATTAACTACTCTGATTGGCATAGAAACAATCATCCTTCAAGACAATTCAGTATGCTGGGATGAAATGTCAGCATTTTTGCCCTCCCCTCCCCACCAATATAACAAGATTGACGATTTAAGGTGTTAGAAGAATTGGAAGCATCAAAGACTACAGAGCATAATAAAACTTAAATCAGTCTCATTCCACACTTGGTATCTCCTATAGAGAGACATTCAGAAATGAACTTAAAAGGTAAAGTTCAAAGCCGACACAAATTGAGGTCACCTAGTACCAAGGTGAGTCTTGCTAGGATAATAATACTTTCCCTTATAATCCACCCTGGGTCCTCTGCAGCTAATGGGCGGGAGAGTAATTAAAGTGCCAAAAGAAAAAGGCAAAGGAGTAGGTTGTTACTAGGTTGGCCTCATTTAGGGCCTTAAGGTAAAGGCTTCAAATCCAAGCACCTTCTCCAACTTCCTACGTATAAAAAGTAATGTTAAGACTGCACAACGAAGCTCACCCACAGGGTTTTCAGAGGATGGCTAAGAGCAGGGCACACTACATCTGCCCACCAAAGATTTCAAAACTCCAGTTTTTTAACTATTCTCTAGTCACAACGACAAAACAGAATCATTCCAAAAAAGTGACCAATGGTATCTTAGGAGCTAAATTATTCAGTATACTTAACTTCTAATGTTGTAAACAAGCAGCTAATCTAATGTGCTGGCTGCTGAAATAATACTTTATAGAAAGAATGTATTTACAAGTTTGTGTTTAGAACAAAACAAAACTCTCTTTGAGTCTCTCAATATACTTGCTCATTTTTCAATGAGCTGGAACCAGAAACTTCAAAAATCAAAAACAGAAGGGAAAAGATTCTGAAATTTGCTATTAAGCTTTTTTTTCAGAAGTTAAAATGATCACATGCTTATTTTCCTTATTTACAGGGCATAAAAATCTTGTTTGATATCTAGAAAACCCTCTCATTTCTCTAGTTAAATAATTTGTCTTCAGAAAGTACAAGTTTGTTCAAGGTGATATCACTAAAACTAAAACATAGTTATTTTTCAATGAATGTGGCCATCTCTTCCTACCGACTGAAGGCTACCTTGAGGCCCACACAAAGTAGAAAGAAAATATTTTATATTGTTTGCTCCTCTGGTCACAAATGCAGTGGGATCAGTGATTTTCATCTATTGACGGCTTTATCATCAGCACTCTGTCCATCCCACTGAATGTCCCTTTTATTCTTTTCTCCTAGTTTCAGGCATCTTGGTGTAACACAGTATCTTCTCTGAGATGGCAGACTCAGAAGGCAGCTATTAGCCAACAGAACTTATTCATTCTTCAGAATTACACTTTCTAAACATCTATATGCTTGTGTGTGTATGGGGGGAGAGAGAGATAGAGGAGGGGAGAGAGAGAGAGAGATCTGCTTAAATGACAAGTATTGCTCATGGATTTTTTTTTCTTTGAAGATAACTGGAAGCAGCTTTCACAAAATATTACTTCTTGAATATAATCATGCCAGTAATCGCAGAAATCTTCTTTTCAACAAGAAATATACCTATCTCAAAATGCTAACACAAAATCTGCACTCTCTGTCCCTGCTCCTCCCCTAAAAGGAAAAAAGATTATTTGAGCTTTCTGTTCAAATACCTACTTGAGTACTCGTGACTATTCAACGCTTACTTTTTACAACTATAACCTTGCTAAGCACAGAAAGCCCCACTCTGTCAACTAACAAGCCAAGTAACAAGGCATTCAGAAACACAAGAGGGGAAAAAATAAAGTTATTAGTTTTTGAAATCATTTCTGTATATTTGATCACGAATCCTTTACAAAGACACATTCTTCAACCAATTAATCTTTTCATTACTTCAGGTTTTGCAAAAGGCCAACAATATTCATTAGGTACTGTACCATTAACATTGCATTCAAAAAAAGAAAACATGGGGAACCAGATCCTTGCTCTTCTACTCTGCTGATATGCTCTGGTGTTGGCCAGAGTATGGTAATACAAAAAGAGTCTTGTGGTGATATAAAAGGCAATAAACACATCAATGGAGTAATGTTCATGTGCAGCCAGAATGAAGAAGATTCCAAAGAGGTTGAGGACCCAGGACAGAGTATGCAAGAAGTTCCAGCTTCTTGGTGTATCTGGAAAGAAAAGAAATTTCAATTTAAAACCACAAGCAAGTCTTCATCACGTATTCCATAAATCAGCCTATAAACACACCTTCTGCTCAGACAGGACACTAGCGTAGGGTAGACTCCCCTAACCCTCACTAAGGACTTGAAGAATAAAGTCATGATGACAGTGGATGGATACTTACATTCAGTAACAAAGAAATTCAGCATAGTCAGAACAACTGTGTGGCCACTGAACATATAATCCCCACAGGTGTGTACTCCAGTCAAGGTCATACCAAAGCCGCTCCATATGGCAAAGGCTCGGTGCAGTTTTTCCCAAACGCTGCCGTACAGCTAAGATGAGGAAAATAATAGATTAGTATTTACAATGCTCAAAAAGATGACTTAAGGCTTCCCACATGAAATTCTCAGCAAAAATCAAAAGCTGAATGATCCAGAAGATGAATGACGCCTACGTAAAAACGACTGGAGACAGTCTGGTCTCAGTTAAACCTGAAAATTCACTAAGCGAACTGTGCTTGACTTACTAATTCAAACATGTATGAAGTCAGCCATCAACTCAAACCACTCACTCTATGTCAGACTCTTCCACTCAAGCTCACTACAACTAAAGCATTTTTTTGGAGGCAATCAGGGTTAAGTATCTTGCCCACTGTTTCATAGCTAGTAAGTGTCTGAAACTGGCTGGATCTGAACTCAGGTCCTCCTGACATCAGGGCAGGTGCTTTATCCACTGCACCACCTAGCTGCCCCAACTAAAGTATTTTCAAGGTCTGGCCATTGGCATAGAGAGAGCACTTATATACCCTATTCATAAAGAAATACTCTATGAGATTAATCCTAATCCATCTCAAGGAAGGGTTAGTCATAGTTACTTTCTAAAGAAAAGGTATCTGATGAGTGGGTTGTATTAGCAAGGCTAGCTACTGACCACAGAAACATCTTGTCAGTAATATTTACTGAGTACCAATGCCTATTGGCAGTATTATTTTGTTTCCTCAGTACTGACTGACTACCACTCTAGTCTGCTTTGAATTCCACCTTCATAGCTTATACCCAAGTACTTATGGGGAACAAAGTTAATTTAAATTTTATCATATCCCCTCATCACAGGCACTCTAAATTCCTATAATATTGCTAATTCACTATCTAGCTTTCAAATTCAATGTTAATGTCTTCTATCTTATTTTGCAGCTAGAAAGGCAGCAGCATTTACTTTGGGGTGAGGAAGTAAAATCAATGGAAAGAGTTGGCAAGCCAAAGCGAGGAAGCAAGTGATGACAGCTAAAAAGCAGTAATTAATCTCTACTGTGGCCATGTTCTTGCCAGTGGGTCTGTCTGTCACAGCACCTTTAGAGCTCTGAACCTTGCCAACTCCCCTGATTACATCTTCCTAAGGGACTCGACCCTCTCAGTTCCAGAACTCACAGCTGGGGGCCTATGCTGTTCTGCCCACTATATGTATCCAGCCCAAGCCACGCATGTTTCACATTCCTGTCATCTTCCTTCCTACCCTTGACTATGAAACCATAATCAAATACTGCCATTGCTATTGTTAAGGGAATGAAAATCAACTACAATCTGGTTCTACTTCACCATCCCTTGTGATGTCTCAATCCCAAACACCCATCCCTGCTCGCCACTGCCCCCTAGGTGTTCTCTCCCTCTATTAGAATGTAAACTCCTGAGGGGAAGGGACTGGTTTTTTTGTTTGTTTTGTTTTGGCTAGACAATGAGGTTAAGTGACTTGCTCAAGGTCACACAGCTAGGAAGTGTTAAGTGTCTGAGGCCAGATTTGAACTCAGGTCCTCCTGACTCCAGGGCCGGTGCTCTATCCACTGTGCCATCTAGCTGCCCCAAAGGGACCGTTTTGCTTTTGTTTTTCTACCAGCGGTGCTCAGGCACAGTGCTTGGCACACAGAAAATACTTTAATGTTTTTTTCATTCATTCAATCCAGTTCCCCTTATCTCTTTCCACCTTAACCATCCCAACTACCCTCACCCAGAAAAGTTGACCAAAATCATTCATATTACATTACAAACAACAGGCAGGAAGCACTGACAAAAACAAGTGTAGGCATCTGCTTCAGGGTTTTCTTTCCTATGTTTGGAAGGGTCTCTGATGACTAATTCACTGCCTAGCTTCTTTCACAGAAATATTCCGTTTTCTTCCCACTTCCCATGGGCTATGTTATTTCTAACTATATAGATTTATGGCTAGTGAACTCTTCCCAATGACACTGACTGGCAACTTGTTTGTAACTGATAATGTGGAGGAGGTGTCTGGAGACACTGAAAGGTTAAATTCTTACTGTTACCCAGCTGGGTTTCAGAGGGAGGACTTGAACTCACATCTTCCTCATCCAGAGCTAGCCTTTTTCTTTGCTCTTTATTCACCACGTGAGGCTACCATGCGGCAATACACTTAACAATCGCACTAGGGGTTTACTGTAGTAAGATGTGATCTAGATGCCTTTTCAATTACCTAATTTTAAAATGATGCCACAAATAATATAGGTCAAAAAGTAGGCTACAGCAAAACTCAGAGCAATTAACAGTATTAAGGGTAGATTAAAATAGATATTTCCATATATAACGAACTGGCAACCAATCACTGGCATGAGACAGAAAAGAGACCTGCTTCTGCTGGCAGCTTAGTTACTGTAACACATTTCTTTGGAATATACACTGTAGTATTTTGTACTACCACCCATTCCATGAGGAATCAGCCCCTCAAACAAATCCTTCCGAGGAGCAATAAGTGCTCATTATATTTGGACTATCTTTTAAATTTCTCCTAGTTAGCCTAACTGCTAAGTAAGATCTTAGATTTTCCTCCTTTTTCCTTGGTAATTAAACCCTCCTAATAGCCACAGATCTCCACTGCCTCTTGAAGCAGCCCATTCTACTTCTGCACTCCTTGAACTGCTATAGTTAGGACTCATACCATAACTCACCAGAAGAAAGAACTTTACGGCGATCAGAGCTGTCTAAAAATGGAATGTTAAGTACTAAGATTCCCATTATTCTAAGTATTTAAGCAAAAGCTAGATGACCAACTGGCAGGGATACTGTAGAGGGGATTCCTGCATTCATTGGGTGGGATGTTGCTCCCACTAGAGCAAATTAGAGTTAGTATCTTGGGCAGAGACAATTTCTGAACATCAGTGCCTTGGAGCCCTGGGCTAGTCACTGAATTTCCATGTGCTTCATTTTCCTTATCTATAAAGTAAGGGGGTTGGACCCTACAGAACCTCTAAAGTTCCTGTCCCTTCCAGCACACTCTGTCTATGATCTTGTGATCTGGACCTGTGGCTCAAGAGGTTCAAAGGAGCAATGAGTCGTCATTTTATATAACAAGGCACTCAGTATTTCATGAGTTAGAAGAATAAGCACATGGTTAGTACTAACTATGAACTACTTTTCAAAGCCACAACTAATGGGGAAATAGTTTTTTAAATTCTTATACTGATATCACTTGACAAACTAATTCACAAGGATCCAAAGAGATTGGCTTGGTGTCACCCACTTGGATGTTCACTATGTACACTGCAAATACTGGAAAGCACACTTTATCAATATATAACATACAGTTAGAAGTAACTACTGTCAGAAACGTTTCAAACAATGCAATCATTTCAACATTCTACTGTAATGAAAGAGAGAGTAAGAATGCAGCTAGTTACCTTTCCAGAACACTGGAGGTGCTGCCCTGGCACAGAGAGGGAAGTCACAAACATGGTAAAGCAGCGAAGCAAGAATACAGTGCCCATCAGACTACAGAGTCTTCGAAGGAGTATTGACCTGTAAACAGCGTATCCAAAAGGGGAAAAAAAATATCATGCAAAGGGGGGTTTGAATGTTTATTTAAAAAGCAGAATAATAAGAGAGAGACCATAGATCTAAGAGATCATCTGGTCTAGTCCCCTCATTTTCAGAAGAGGAAACAGATCCAGAAAAGCCAAACCACTTGTACAAGGTTACAAAGTAATGACAGATCAGGACTCTAGAACCCAGGTTTTCTAGTGCTCTCTCCACTATGCCATGCTCAAACAGAACATTTTTTTTTTGCCCATCAGCAAATACCTGTGCATCTAGCCAATTACAGGTGTATGACTATCTAACACTGCAAAATGGCTGATTCAAATTAACAAATATTTCATTAAGCACTTAGGAGGTTAAAGTTCTGTGCTAGGTAATGGGAATACAAAATAGATCCCACACAAATCTTGCTCTCAAGGAACTTACAACCTAAGGGGAAAAGCTATTTCCTCACAACCTGCCCATGATATATGCAGTGTTAAGCAATATTATCTCTCTTTTATAGAAGAGAAGACAGGCCCAGTAAAGGTCACACAGACATAAAGGGTCATTGCTAGGACTCATGTCAGGCCCTGCCTCACTGGTAGTGGCCCAATAAAATCTAATTCCTAACGTTTTCTCTGTTTGGAAAACTAGATTGAATACCACTCATTTGGCTAAATAAAGTACTGATTTGTAATGGTGATTTAAAGTGTACAGCTCTTCTACTCCTGGGCCACCACTTTTGACTGTTACACCCTTTCCCCTCTTACTTCATGGACAAGGGAGCTCCTTAAGTACAGGGCCAGACCTGTGTTCTCAGAGGACCCCACCATGCCTTGAACTCTTTCTATTGTAACAATATCTGTACTTGGGTCTAATATAGCAGGGGGTTACTCCTCACCTTGGGAAGTTTCCTAAAGGACCAACCTCTCTAATTCTGATGGGTATTTTTAAAAAGTCCATGATGATTCTATGGAATAGGAGTGTCACTGGAAAGTAGTAATGATGTTTGTGTATATACTACCCCCTGCCCCAAGCAACACCCAGAGTAAAACATCCAGACTTTCAAAATGGGGCAAAACTGTATTCAGAGTTGACCAGAATGGATAGTTACAGAATCAAAGGATTCATAAATTAATTTTTACTCTGAACTTTAAATAAATTTTTAAAAAAAGCTATTTCCACATACATAGTAGAGCAGAAAAGAGAACTGTACATGAAACTGAGACTTTCTATTACATACCGCTTGCTTTCCTAGAAGCATAGGATTTAGAGCTGAAAGGGGACTTAAAGATCATCGAGGCAATTCCTTTATTTTACTGACGAAGAAATTGTGGTCCAGGTAATAAAGTGACTTGCCCAAGATCACAAAGCTATCTCAACACCAAATTTAGTCCCTTTACCACTATACTGCCTATCAACAGTCTTAAAAGAACTGCTACCTCAGACCCAAAGCGTATCTGTGATTTACCTTCAGTGAGGGAGAGAGCATCAAAGAGTGTTAGCTCATCCAAATGTTCCAAAGTTATATGGACAGTAAAATATCAATGCCTATGCCATTTTTCCCTTTCAAACCCAAAATGGCATTCCTCCCTCCCCTAACTCCCTAAAGCAGAAAAGGAGTCTCACATTTCTTCTATGGTGAGAGATTTTTAGTGAGCCAAAGAGAAATAAACATATAGTATTGACTAGCTTTTCATTTGCTATAACAGTGGATGGCCACATTGTGGTACTGTGTTTACTTATATTAAACATACTGAACATGACTTCAAATTCAATACAAAGAGCAATATGTACTTCAATATGTCATGTCATAGTAAGGAACAGCGTATTCTTTGTAAAACTAAATTAATGCCTTTGAAGAGAATCACTCTCAAGAAAACACTGTGTTGTCAAAGACGAGCAAGAGACTGGCCAAGTGAAGACTTACACAGTTATCCAGCAGCTGTCTAGTCTTTCTCCACCTCACTACTGAGATGTGAGCCAGAACTCTAAGGAAGTAAACTTCCAAATATGAAGACAATGACATTTCATTTTTATCTAACCCTTATAATAGCTCCCACCCAAACTATGTTCCTCTCAACTGCTATCACACTGTGATCATCTTTAAAAAAGATTTTTTTTTTAATTACGTAAAGCATGGGAAGAAATAAACAAGGAAGTAAAACAGGCTTATTAACAACCAGGCTAGAATAAGGTGTTGACATAGTTTCTAAAAAGTCAAAACCTTAAACTACTTGCAGCCAAAAGTAAAGAAGTACCTGTGTTTGTGAAGGAGAAGCACCAGCAGCCAGATGTAACAGAGAATGACACCACACACTTCTGTCATGGCAAAGGCCCACGGAATCCTAGGGACACTGAAATGAGAGGAGGGGGAGGTCAGGATGCACAGAGGAACACGAGAATGGATTTGTTTAAAGAGGTCTTTAAAAGTGGACATATATATATAGTCACTTTGCTGTTGGGAAGAAGGCTCATTTTTAGTACTCAAAGGAGAAAAAAACCACAGGCTTAGAAAAGTGTCTCATATACAGGAAATACTTAATAGTTCAGTTTTCACAAAACAGTAAGTGTGCTGAAAACTATTTTAAGGAACATTTAAAATTCCTGAAAATTTCTAAAACCAAGAGGAATTTCAATACAGCCTTTAAAAAATAACTATTTATCTGCATAACAGCTGAACTTTTTAATGTAAGTTTTTCCAGCATAAAAGGAGTATCACTAGGATACACTGGTAACCACCACCACAGCTGCCACCACTCCTTACCAAGAACTGTGGTTGCCAGTTAAGTGAATGTCTGTATAAATGAGATAATACCATCTAGTATTTGTACATATGACTGTACCTTAGAGCACTTTGGGATTTCATGACTTCAAAAGGTTTGGATATCAGATATTTCCTAAGTATGTCAAACTTGAGACAGAAAAAAAACTGAATAACTATCCTAAGTCATATTTATTCTACTTTTTTTGTTCTTCAAAAAAAGTATTAGTAAAATAAAACCTCAGAATAGTTTTATCTTTAATACTTTCTTTTTGTCTTTTTTTTTGGCAATTGGGGTTAAGTGACTTGCCCAGGGTCACACAGCTAGTAAGTGTCAAGTGTTTGGTCTGAGGCTGGATTTGAACTCAGGTCCTCCTGACTTCAGGGCCAGTGCTCTATCCACTGTGCCACCTAGCTGCCCCCAATGTTTTCAACTGATAAAATTCCAATAACAAGTATTTTCAGTATTTTTTGAGAATCATCAGACCTTAAGAGCTGTGTACTCCCATTCTTCTGCCGGCAGACTAGACCACACCTAAGCCATTCTGAATGGTGATTCAATTGTTGATAAACATTAAGTGGCTTGCCTATTGCTTCCCCTCCCACCCCCAAATGTTCTACTCATCAGAATGCTAGCAGATGGTGAGCCACAGAATCTTAGATCTAAAAAGGACTTCAAAGGTCATCTAGTTTAACCTCCACCTAAATCATGAATATCATTCACAATCTCCAGGGTAAGTAACCATTCAGCTTCCATTTATAAGCTGCAAAGGTAGGGAAGTCATTACCTCTTTCAAGGTATTTTTGGATCATTCCAATTGTTAAAATGTTTTTCTTTATGCTGAACTCAGATCTGCCTTCATATAACTTCTTCCATCAGTCCTAGCTTTCTTCTTTGGATACCACCAAAAGAACAGATCTGATTTTACATGGCAATCCTACAAATATCTGAAGATTTTTACTGTGTCCCTCCTAAATCTTCTTGCCTCCAGACCAAAATGTTCCTCAGTTTCTTCAACAGATACTTGCATGTATGGTCTTGAGAACCCTTCCCCTTACCCCAACATTGCTATCTTGGTTACCTTCCTCTCAAACATTAGTAAGTTCCTACTACATGCATGGTACCATGAACTGTTCAAGAAATACAAAGATGAAAAAATGAGACAGTTCCTACTCTCAAGGAACTTATATTCTAGCAGAAGGATGTAACACATAAAACTAGAAGGAAGGAAAGGAGAGGAGGCAGAGAGAGTCAGTGAATGAGAAAGAGGGGGAGAATAGACTCAGGAATAATTGAGTTTAGGTCCAATCTCAGATACTTGGAAGCTGTGTATGTGACCCTGGAAAAGTCACTTAACCTTTATCTGCCTTAGGTTCCTAATCTATAAAATGGGGATGATAATAGCATCTACCTCCCAGGGTTGTTGTGAGGTCTTAAAGCATCATATAATTTCCCAAGTGGTAAGAAGGTACAGGGTTGGTGGTAGTAGTATAGAAGAGTGGATAAAGAACCAACCTGAAAATCTGGAAGACCTGATTCCCTCCCCCCACCCCCAAGTATTGGTTATGTGATATATAAAGGTGACTTGCCCAGCATCCCCTGTCTAGTTAAGTGTCTGAGGCAGGATTCAAACAGAAATCCTCTAATTCCAAGTCGTAGGTTGTATCCACTGCAGGACCAATGAAATCCTAGTTACAGTCCCTCTCAATGTGGATAAACATAATACAGTTAATTTAAAGAAGGAAAGAAAAAGAACAACTGGAGTCATGGAAACTTCACACAGGAGGGATACCTGAGCTGACATGTGAAGGAGGAGAAGGAGAGGCTGAAACAAAAAGGAAGTGCATTAGAGGTGTAACGGATAACTTGTATGAAGGCACAGGTGCTGGCTATGGCAGTCAAACTCATTGAGAACTTCTGCTGAACTGGAACATAGGGTTGGTAAAATGGAGCAGTATAAAATAAAGCTGAAAAGGGAAGTGGGAGCTAGACTGTGAATGACTTTTAACTGTCTACTATCAATGAACATTTATTAAGCATCTATTGTCCCAAGCCTGGTGTTAAATGCTGAAGATTTCTGAGCAAGGGACTGCCATGTTCAGACCTATGCCTCAAGATACCTATTCTGACCGTGTAAAGGATCTACTGGAGACAAGAGACTGGAAGAAAGCATGGATAGCAAATACACAGTTATTTTTAACATTTTGGTCAAATGGTTAGGAGGACTTGATACACAGTTATTTTTAACATTTTGGTCAAATGGTTAGGAGGACTTGAACTAGAGTAGCTAGCTGGTTGGTGGTTCTGTGAGTACAAAGAAGGAAAAGGATGACGGTGATGTAAAGACTTATCAAATGACCAGTTATATGTGATGAGGAAGAAGAAAAAGTGAAGGATGGTTCTAAGGTTATGAATTCAGGTGACTGGGAGGATGGTAGTACCCTCAACGGAAATAGGGAAGTTTGGGTGAGGGGCAGGTTTATGAGGGGATGTAAGATAAGACATTATATATCAATGTCCTTCTAAAAATCTGGTAAACAGATTTGACCAATACTCCAGACACTATCTCATCAAGGAAGGCCCTTCCAAATACCTATAAAAAATGGCTCTAAACAAATTCTAAAGCAGCAGAACCCACAAAAAGACAGAGTGAAAAAAATTTCCAGCCAAAGACAGCCTGGATGGTTGATCAGAAAGGCATATTGTGCCAGGCGGGGAGAGGAGTGAAGTTGAGCATAGGCACACAGGCCACAGCGACCCTGGAGCAAGCCTCAGAGGACTGAATCGTGGGCAGCTGTGGTGGTTTCCAGACTTCTCAACCCACAAACGCCAAAGATAACTTAGAAGGTCAGTGGGAAAAGTCTGTATCAGCAGGGAGAGAGAGAAGTCGGTGGTCTCAGCTCCAATCCCCAAGTGAGGCTCTGGATGGCGGCTGCTTCCTGAGCTTCCGGCCCACAGACTGAGGGGGAATCCAGTGGCTGATAAGAGGGGGATTGCAGGGATGTCTCTGCTGGTGCAGGATTCTCTTGCTTTGCCAGTTCTTGGATCTGGGTCACAGTTCTGGGTGGTGGTCCTGGGGTGATGAGGAGCGCTAGCACGGTGGAGCTTGTAGTGACTGTGGAGAGGAAACCCTCTTCACAGTTCTAAGACAGAAAAGAATGCTCTTAGACCAGAGCACAGGCCAGGAAAGGAGTAAGCACCTTGCCCTTGATCATAGCACCTTGGAAGAACTGAAAATTTACAGGTCCCTAGAAGTATCTCTGAAAACAGCTGCACAAAACCCCTGAAGCTTGGGACAGTACATTCTCCACACTGGAAACAGACTCCTACCTTAACAAAGAGTTTATAACTCAAGCAATTGGCCGGGATCATGAGCAAGCAGTGCAAAAAGAGGCAGACTATATTATCTTACTTTGATGACAAAGAAGATCAAAACATACAACCAGAAGAAGACAATGAAGCCAAAGCTCCTACATCCAAAGTCTCCAAGAAAAATATGAATTGGTCCCAGGCCATGGAAGAGCTTAAAAAGGATTTTGAGAAGTAAGAGAAGTGGAGGAAAAACTGAGAGTGATGCTAAAGGAGACCCAAAAAAATACTGAAGAAAATAACACCTTAAAAAATAGCCTAACCCAAATGGCAAAAGAGGTCCAAAAAGTCAATGAAGAGAAGAATGCCCTAAAAAGCAAAATTGGCCAAATGGAAAAGGAAGTCCAAAAGCTTACTGAAGAAAATACTTCCTTAAAAATTAGAATGGAGAAATTGGAAACTAGGGTCAATTTGAGAAATCAAGGCACTCTAACACTAATCCAAAGGAATGAAAAAATAGAAGAGAATGTGAAATATCTCATTGGAAAAACAACTGACCTGGAAAATAGATCCAGGAGAGAGAACTTAAAAATCATTGGACTATCTGAAAGCCATGATCAAAAAGAGCCTAGACAACATCTTTCAAGAAATTATCAAGGAAAACTGCCCTGATATTTTAGAACCAGAGGGCAAAACAGAAATTGAAAGAATCCACAGATCACCTCCTGAAAGAGATCCCCAAAGGAAAACTCCTAGGAATGTTGCAGCCAAATTCCAGAATTCCCAGGTCAAGGAGAAGATATTGCAAGCAGCCAGAAAGAAACAGTTCAAGTATTGTGGAAACACAATCAAGATAACACAAGATTTAGCAGTTTCTACATTCAGGGAACGGAGGGCATGGAGTATGATATTCCAGAGGGCAAACGAGTTAGGACTACAACCTAGAATCACCTACCCAGCAAAACAGTATAATCCTTCAGGGTAAAAAATGGTCATTCAATGAAATACAGGACTTTCAAACATTCCTGTGGAAAAGACTAGAGCTGAATAGAAAATTTGACCTTCAGATACAAGACTCAAGTGAAACATGGAAGAGGTAAACAGAAAGAAATCATAAGAAACTTATTAAGGTTGAACTGTTTACATTCCTGCAGGGAAAGATGATATTTGTAACTCATAAGTCCTTTGTCAGTATTAGGGTAGTGGGAGGGAAAAAATTATACGTATGTATAGATAGATAGATAGATAGAGGGCACAGGGTGAGTTGAAGATGAAGGGGTGATATATGGAAAATAAAATTAAGGGGCAAGAGAGGATTATACTGGGAGAAGGAGAAAGGGAGAAGTAGAATGAGGTCAAATATCTTACATGTAACAGACAAGAAAAGGCTTTTACAGGGGAAATGGGGGAAGGTGAAAGGGAATGAATGAATCTCATAGGATTTGGCTTAAGAAGGGAATAACATACACAATGGGGTACGGAAATCTATCTTACCCTACAGGAAAATAAGGGGGGACGGGGACAAGAGAGCAGGGGGTTGATAGAGGGGAGGGCAGACTGGGGTAAGGGATAATCAAAAGCAAACACTTCTGAGGAGGGACAGGGTCAAAAGGGAAAATAGAATAAATGGGGAGCAGGATAGGATGAAGAGAAATATACTTAAGTTTTTCACAACACGACTACTATGGAAGTGTTTTGCATGACTACTCATCTGTAACCTGTATCGAGATGCTTACCTTTTCAATGAGGGTGGGAGGGTGAGGAAGGAAGGGAGAAAATTTGTAACCAAAGTTTTAAAAACACATGTTAAAAAAAATAATAAAATTAAATTAAATTAAAAAAAGAAAAAAATCTTATCAAGGAAGAGGACAGCACCATTGTCATATTTCCTTTTCTGTATACTATATTTCTATTACTTATAATTAGTGGAAATGTCAAACCATGGTAGATATGTTTAACAATAAGATTTTGATCTGGAAATTTCTCTGATTTTAAGGATAAAGGGCCCCATATAAATACAAAATATAGAACACATTATTGTTTCTTGGTTATTTAAGAATAACATCCTAAAAATTATTTGTAATTGTGCTGCTACAGAACAGGTTGTCTCCTAAAATATAAATGAGGCAATACCAATCTAAAATGTAGCTAATTTAAAATGATCTAGTCTTGTTAATTGTAACACAACATAATATTTTAGTGACAAAAGCTTTTGATGGTCTGCATGGAACTTAAGAAATGATGATTTTGAAGAGTAAAAAATGTGTTAGTGTCTCTCTAGTTTTCCCATTTCCTAGGGGAAAATGTGCCCTGATCAATTAACATAAGTCTATTTGAAAAACACATCTCTACACCTGGAATGAACATATATTCTAGTATCATTACCTAATGACACTCTTAAAGTCATCAAATTCCTTTATAGTGACTGTTCACCAAGTGACCTTCTAATGTTAATCCATTTTCCCAAATAGACTTTTCTAATAGGAAGAGAATAAGCTGATCTGTTAGCATGAATGTTCTGGTCAGCCTGGCAGGTATATTTCAATGTACTATTTACTATTACAAGAAATTAGTCAATTTCTTGAATTTCACTAGCAAAAATTGTCTCCTAGAGTCTGATGAAACCTGAGTAAACTGATATTTAAAAATAAGTTCCTGAATACAAAAAATGAAGGACCAAGAATCCTAGACTTAAGACAGATTTAACCAAGATAAAGACATCTCAAGAAGCCCTGTTAAAAAAAGCAAAAGTTTAGAAAAAAAAATTTAACTACAACAATATATAATAACATATTGGACAAGATAGGCAGAGTTTTTCAGTACCTTAGATACTGAAACTGAGATTGACATTAGCTGGTTCTGGGTTCAAAAGGGTCAAGGACATATCTATCTCTTAGTCTTAATTTGCAAAAACGACTTCCAATTAGAGCACAGATGTGAAAATACAGAACAATTAAGCTTCGTGACAAGATACGAAACAAACCTACTTTAGGTCTGAACATGGTGGTAGACAGCTAGAACAAAAGTCTCTGGATTTAAGTTTGAGCTATAAAAATGGTAGGCACTTTTTATACCACAAGTAAAAAGTTAGTTTAATTAAGCAAACAGTTCTTTATCACAAATTAGAGCTGAAAAAAAAAAAGTCTTCTGAAGCAGTAACAGACAATTTCAGAAGGGATTCCAATTTTCAACAACTATTTCTTTTACTATTACTATTAACTATTACAATCTCTGCTAATCTGGATTTAACAACAATTAGTACCCATGGAAACAGAAGACTTCTACCAGCAAAGAGACACATTTGAAGCCCAGAATCTAGATCTCAGCAAGAACTTCTAAAAACAGAAAACAAATTCAGATAAATCTGAGTAACTCCAAGCCAAATTCAATTAACTCCAAATAGATCCAAGGTTGAATCTAAGAATAGTTAAAGGCAGTGTTGTCAAACTCAAATAGAAATGGATTTCTGCCAGCAGCATGCTCACTTAGAAAACCACAAATTAACATTATCTATGTTGTAATATATTTGTATTTATTTTGTTAAACATTTCAGCTGCACTGGGGAGTTTTATGGCTACTCGTAGCCTCTAGTTTTGATACTTACTACTCGCTTTAAGGAGTGAAATTCCCATACAGTCTACAAGACAACCAATAAGAAAAATTTATTTTAATGACAAAAACTTTTTGGTAGCACTTTGCTGATACAGTGAAGTATTATCTAGTTACATCACCCAAATATGTGATAGGAAGACATTAAGACAACAATGAGATTAACTGTTGCTTCTTAACTTTCTCTTCAAAGACACTGTTCCACAGTTTTGCCAGTGTTCTTTGTTTCCAACAGGCTGGTTTTTACTGCCTCAATCCTTCTTTGGCTTGATTCTCTTCAGTGTCTGTGAGCCATGAAAAGGTACTTACTTGGAAACTCTCTCTCTGAAGTGCTTGTGCAGAATAAATTAAACTTGACCGCAAATATACAGTGAAGGAACCAAAAAGTCAGTTAAAAGTAAAACTACCTAAAGGGACATTAGCTTCTAATATAAACACATTCCAAATAGCACTCGCTACTAAGAGAACTAATTTATATGTTGCTAATTTTATTATTCAATTATTGGAAACTTCCAGTGATATTTAACAAATATCAGAAATAAATTATGTAGAAGTCTAGAAAAGCCATTCTTCTTAACTACCTTCTTAGTAAGCTTCAGGGGCTCCTCATTGCCTCTAGGATCAAATACAAACTCTTCTTTTTGGAATTTAAAGACCTTCACAACTAACTTGGCTCTCCTACGTTGCAGGCTTATTATACATTGTTTCCTCCACACACTCTTAGTTCCAGCCAAAATGGACTTCTGGCTGTACCTCCACCTTCCCTCTCCATGCCTTCCCCAAAGGCTGTTCCCCATACTTGGAATGCTGTCTCTTCCTTCCTCTTGTCTCTCAGAATCCCTAGCTCCTCTCAAAACTTGGCTCAAGCATCACCTTAAGGCCTTTCCTGATGCCCCCTGCTGCTGGTATGCTCTTTCTCTCTCCTCCTTCTAATTAACTTGTATTTACTCTGTTCATGTTTTCTATGTGTTTACGTGCCTACAACATCATATACTTCGTCTCTCCATAGAATGTTAAGCTCCTTGAGGGAAGAAGCTACCATTTGTTCTTGTATTCTTAGCAACTAGCATAATGATAGGAGGCTCTTAATAAATATTTGAATGGTTAACTTTTAATTCTTGTCTCTTGGATTATAAATTCTTTGAAGCAAATACTGACTAAATCACTTTTTAGGCATTGAAAAAGGTTTTAAAATTCCCTAAACTAAGTTGTTTTAAATTCACTTTTAAAAGAGTATTTGATTTACGAATTGCTTACCTTCTCAATGGGGAGTGGGGAGGGAGGGAGAGAATTTGCAACTTGAAGTTTTAAAAATAAATGCTAAAAATTGTTTTTACATGTAACTGGGGGAAAACAAAATACTAAATAAATACAAAAATAATAAAAACACCCCCACCCCCAAAAAAAGTATTTGATTTAGAGTCAGAGGAGGACATATCTGGCTCAGATACTACATTAGTAACCTAATTTCTCTGGGCCTCAGTTCCTCAGTGGAAAATGAAGGGGTTGGACTAGAAGACTAAAGTACTTTCCAACTCCAAATCCAATGAACTTTAAAAATAAAGACAAGGCATATAGTTCTTGTACAAATGGAAATTTTTTTTTAAGCAAAGCCAACAAGAAGTTGCTATAACTTCAAAATCATTGGGAATTTCTATTCTTAAAACTTAGCTAACTATCACTGAACAAATATTTCTGTGGTGATGATTTTAGTAACTAGATATATCTAGTTCATTTGGGCTAACCTGTAGGCCTCCAAAGATTACATTAAATGCAGAACTGTTAACCATCAAAACCTGGAATCACAGAAGCAGAGATTTAGATCTGGAAGGGACCCTCAGAAGTCTAGTTAACTCCCTCATTTTTCATTGCCAAGAAATTGTCACGTTGTCAGGACATACTTTCACACTGAGATGTAGATTACAACCCTTCCATAACTTAGTAAATGGTCTTTGAGAGTGGCTGTGTCCAGAAAACTTCTCACCTTGTGAATAATGACAAGACTCCCAGAACTTATAAAGGCTGGATTGGCTGGTCCTTAAACAACAGAGTTCATTGCTAAGGAGATACACTTGCATGAAAATGAATTATTGACATTCTTTTTCCAGTCACCTGGGCTAAGTTCTAAGTCACTGGGTAAGTGGCTAACTGGGTTTTTAAAAGTATACTTTAAAAAAAACAAACAAACAAAAAAAAGGGGCAGCTCAGTGGCGCAGTGGATAGAGCATTGGCCCTGAAGTCAGGAGGACCTGAGTTCAAACACAGCCTCGGACCAAACACTTGACACTTACTAGCTGTGTGACCCCTGGGCAAGTCACTTAACCCCAATTGCCTCAAAAAAACAAAACAAAACAAAACAAACAAAAGTATACTTTAATACACTAATAAAACAAATAGTGTATGCCACCAAATGAGACGTAATACCAATTACCACAGATATTTTGTTCTAGACTGCTGTTTGTTTAGTTTTTTAAACAACATTAAAATGGCTTTTTAATTAGTATATTAACAACAAACAAATACTTACCTATCTAGAAATATATCTGGTAGTGGTGGATAAGTCTGCATGTCAGGCACTCGTTCATGGACTATAACCATGATGAAGGATGTAAACCCAAATACTATGAACACATATACACAACTCAATATGGTCTTCCAGTATTCTGGGTCTAATCTTCTAACCATGTGTTTGTTCTTCCCATTCATGTACTGGTACTGATCTGGATTCAAGTCAGTGATAAGTCCATCACAGTCATGTGATAGTTCCCCATTACAAAGCCAGTCCGAGCCTTGCAGAACACTGATGTAAGGTGACATGGGGCCAAGGAGACTGTCACTGTTGTAACCCATCTCTTCTAAAACGTCAACATGTACTTTTTGCAGTTTACGTATTGATAACATCAGCCTTTTGATATCTCCCAAGACTTTAATTTCCAGAGGAGGTGACCGTAGGTCATATTCAGTCAATGTTAGCAATGTAAGTCCATCAAGTCTATGTTTATTGCATAAGATATCCACATACTCAAAAAAACCTTCATCTTTCAGCCATATAGCGACATGCTTAGTAGTCCAACGGCGAATGCAGAGTTGATTATGCCCTGCCATTGTCTCCTCTGTTTGCTGGGGTAAAAAAAAAAGGGAACAAATTAAGCATGAACTGAAAAGGTTCTACATCAAGAACTATACAAATATGCATGCATGTATGTATGCATGTGTGTATGGATGTATTCCAAAAAAAGCAATGCACCCACACAGCTATACTTGATTTCTAGAAAGGTTAAAAGTAAAATTAAATTTAGGAAGTACTTGTACATTATTCTTAACATATTTCTATTTCAATATATTTATGACTATAGTCCCAAAATGGGGGGGGGGGGTATCTCAAAAATAGGAAAGCCTATCATACATTTTTGTGAGATTAAGACATTTTTTAAAAATGTTAAGCACATGTTACTCAAACCGATCTGTCATCACATCAAAGCGAGTATTTCCTTGCTTTGTTCCTGGCAATCTGTCTATGTTTTCCTCTAAGTTTGCCACAGGGGTTAAATCCAATGTGCTGGGATATTCTAACTATAATTAAATTGGAGAGATCCTCTGATTGGAATCAATTTTAGAAAATTTTCACTTAGGCTATTAGCAAAAGAATGAGACATATAGAAGACTCAGATATAAATAAAGAACATCAAATTTCTCAAACATGCTCTGAAAAGAAAATTCTCTAGATAGTTCCATTAGTTTCTGGAAGCTCTTTAGAGCTGTCTTTTATCTTCAATGTACATAACAATCATAATATACAGATGCCAAAGTTTTGAAAGAAGGTACAGATTGGAGAAAAAGATGGGTAACTTTTATACTTTGAATATTCCTTCAGAAAGCCGACATGCCTATAATCCCTATTATCAGGGAAATTGAGGCTGGTCGATCTTTTAAGCTCTGGAGTTCTGATCTGATATGCTATAGGTTTCAGTGGTGGGGAACCTGCGATCTTGAAGCCACATGTGGCCCTCTAGGTCCTCAAGTGCGGCCCTTTGACCGAATCCAAACTTCATAGAACAAATCCCCTTAATAAAAGGATTTGTTCTGTAAAACTTGGACTCAATTCAAAAGGATGTATCTAAGGACCTAGAAGGTCACCTGTGGCCTTAAGGCCTCAGACTTCCCACCACTGATAGCCAATCATATGTCTGAACTAAGTCTGGAATTGATACAGTGTGCCCCTGGGAGTACCAGGTTGCCTAAAGGAAAGATAGAGTCTGCATAGATCATAAACAAGAGCAGATCAAAGCTCCTGTGTTGATCAGGTTGGGACCAGGGCCATGAGTAGCACCTATACTTCTAGCCTGGGTGAGATAGGGAAACCCAGTTAAAACAAAAAAAAAAAACCCAAAAAACTCTATTGAGTAATCCATTTCCAAAATTGTGTTCGTGGAGAATTTGCTGAACTAAAATTTAAAAGTTTTAATATCATGTGAAAGTGGTAAAATATTATCTAAAGTCTTAAGTTTAAGTCTTAAGTCAGACTTCAAATGAATATTTTCAAAGTTCTAAAAATTTAAGCATTTTACATTTTCTACTGCATTGATCCCATACTTCTCCCCTCATATTCTTGAAACTTAAGTATTTTTTGTTACTGGGATTTATACCATGTTTTAAAATAAAAATAGCTCATATTATATAATACTTGAAGGTTTACAACTACTTTACATACATCATTTTTTTTTTTTGGCAATTAGGGTTAAGTGACTTGCCCAGGGTCACACAGCTAGTGTCAAGGGTTTGGTCTGAGGCCGGATTTGAACTCAGGTCCTCCTGACTTCAGGGCCGGTGCTCTACCCACTGCACCACCTAGCTGCCCCCATACATCATCTTTTTGGGCACTTAAAAAACCTTGCGAGAAGAATTAAAGGTCTATTATTTACAGAAGAGGAAAGAGAATCAGAAATGAAATCATTTGCCCATGATCACATAATACTCCTGTGTCAGACTGAGAATTCAAACTCAGGTCTTAATTGATTCCAAATCTAATATTCTTTTCCACAGTAATATACACTGACTCCTAGATCATAACCTGAAAGCCAAAGGCTTATCAAAAGATACTTGTTGACAAAGGCATACTAAAGCATTACCTATTGTCACTGAGGTTGCAAAGCAGAAAGCAGACTATTTACACATACACACACACACACACACACACACCCCTCACACACTAAACATTGCCGTACAATATTTAAGTACTTAAAAAGTTACTCTGGATTTCAAAGGACCTACAATTCTCTACCACTGGTATCATATATGGGGTCTCTGCTAGATTTTAAAAAGCTTTTTTAAAAAATTTTTTATTTTTTCACGATTACACATAAAAGTAATTTTTTCTATTCTTTTCAAAAAATTCTCTCCCTCCCCCCACACTGAGAAGGTAAGTAATTTGATACAGGTTATACATGTGCAGTCATACAAAAATATTTCCTATTAGTCATGTTGTGAAAGAAAACACCAACCCCCCAAAAAAACCCCACAAAAAAGAGAAAATAAACAAAAAAGCCTGCTTCAATCTATATTCAGACAATATCAGTTTTTTCTCTGGAGGTGGAGAGTATTTTCCATCATAAGTCCTTAGATCATTGTATTGCTGAGAACAGCTAAGTCATTCACATTTGATCATCATACAATATTGCTGTCACTGTGTAAACTGTTCTGCTGGTTCTGCTCACTTCATTTTACATCAGCTCATGCTCATGTTTAAGTCTCTCCAGGTTTTTCCAAAAGTATCCTGTTCATCATTTCTTATAGCATAATAGTATTCCATCACAATTATATACCACAACTTGTTCATCCATTCCTCAATTAATGGGCATCCCCCCCCAATTTCCAAATTTTTGCCAGCATAAAAAGAGCTGCTATAAATATTTTTGGATATATAGGTTCTTTTCTTTTTCAAAAATCTCTTTGGAATATAGACCTAGCAGTAATATTTCTGGGTCGAAGGGTATGGAGAGTTTTATAGCCCTTTATTGGATCAGTTCACAACTCGATCAACAATGCATTAGTATCCCAATTTTCCCACTTCCCCTCCAGCATTTGTCATTTCCCTTATCTGTCATGTTAGCCAATCTGATAGCTGTTTTCAATCTGAGCTGTTTTAATTTGCATTTCTCTAATCCAGTGATTTAGAGCATTTTTTTAAATGAGTATAGATAGAAAACTGTTCATATCCTTTGACCATCTGTCAATTAGGGAATGACTTGTAGTCTCATAAATTTGACTCAGTTCTCTCAATCTTTGAGAAATGTGTATTATCAGAGATAACTTGCTGTTAGAAAGATTTTTTCCCAATATCCTGCTTTCCTCCTAATTTTGACTGCACTGGTTTTGAGTAAAAAAAAAAATTTTAAATTTAATGTAATAAAAATGATCCATTTTACATCCTATAATATTCTCTGCCTCTTATTTTGTCATAAACCCTTCCCTTATCCATAGATCTATGCATTATATGCTCCCCTAACTTGCTTGTATCTCTCTTTTATGTGTAAATCATGTAATCCAACCTATCCATTCCTGCATTATAGATGAGTCCACCACATTCACATTCACAGTTATGATTACTGTGTGTTTTCCACCCTCTGACTTTTTCCTTATTTATCATTCCCTTTCACCTTCTTTTGCCTCTAACGTGTTTTGTTTCTGGGGGCAGCTAGATGGCGCAGTGGACAGATTACTGGGCTTGGAGTCAGAAGGACCTGATTTCACATCCGGCCTGAGACACTTGACACTAGCTGTGTGACCCTGGGTAAGTCACTTACTCCCAATTGCCTCACCAAAAAGGAAAAAAAAAAAGTGTTTTGTTTCTGAGCACTGCTTCCCTGAATCCACCCTCCTATCAACCCCCCCCCCCCCAGCCCTCCAGCCTCTTCTCCTCCTACTTCCCTGAAGGGTAAGATAGATTTCCATACCCAACTGAGTGTGCATGTTATTACCTCTGAGCCAATTTCGATGAGAGTAAGGTTCAAACGTTGCCCACCACCACCTCCATCTTCCCCTCTACTAAGCTCTTTTATCAGAGATAATTTACCCCATTCTCTCTCTTTCCCAGTACATTCCTGTTTCTCACACCTTAATTTTATTTTTTTGGATATTATCCCATCATAGTCAATTCACACCCATACCCTCTATTTATACGCCTTTTAAGGGCCATAATAATGAGGAAGTTAAGAAGCTGCTAAATCTTGTGTTATCCTGATTATGTTACCACAATACTTGAATTGTTTCTTTCTGGCTGCATTTTCTCCTTGACCTGGGAACTCTGGAATTTGGCTATAATATTCCTGGGAGTTTTCCTTTTGGGATCTCTTTCAGGAGGTAATTGGTGGATCCTTTCAATTTCTATTTTACTCTCTGATTATAGAACATGAGGGCAATTTTCCTTGACAAATTTTTTTTTTAATCTTCAAATTTTGACTGGAGAAGAACTTGGGATTAGACAACTTCCCCACATGGGCCACCAAAGTGTTGAGATTTAGGGGTACTGAGACGTCAAAATCACAATATGCGGGTCCTGCCCAAATGAATTTGACTCAAGCCTTCTTTCAGCCAAAGACAAGGTTTATTAAAGATCTGCCATACAGGTCAGATTCTTAAGGAATCTGAACATTTGTGAACTATTGGCTAGGTTCTTAAGGAGTTTGAGCCCTTGACAAATTTCTTGAAAGATGATGTCCAGGTTCTTTTTTTTTTTTTTAATCATGGCTTTCAGGTAATCCAAAAATTTTAAAATTATCTCTCTTGGATCTATTTTCCAGGTCAGTTGTTTTTCCAATGAGATATTTCGCATTGTCTTCTATTTTTTTCATTCTTTCAGTTTTGTTTTATAATTTCTTAATTTCTAATAGCTTCCATTTACTCCATTCTAATTTTTAAGGAATTATTTTCTTCTTTTGGGCCTCATTTTAGAGCTTTTGGATATCCATTTGGCTGATTCTACTTTTTAAGGCATTCTTCTCATTGGCTTTTTGGACCTCTTTTGCCATTTGGTCTAGTCTATTTTTTAAGGTGTTATTTTCTTCAGTATTTTTTGGGTCTCCTTTAGCAAGCTGTTGATTTGTTTTTCATAACTTTCTTGC